CCATCAAGTACGACTCATAGCAACCTATGAACAACAGATCTGAACTCATCCTCTCCTGCGCCAGCCTCATCATCTCTGACACACTTGAACCCATTTCTGCAGTCACTGTGTTAATTCGTTTTGACAGGGGGTCTTCCTCTCTTTCCCTGACCCCCCCCCCACCTCGAGTATGATGTCCTTTTCCAAGGAGTAACTTCTCCTAGCAACGTGTCCAAAGTACGAGAGACAAAGCTTCACCAACCTTGCCTCGAAGGCAGCCTGGGAGACTCTCCTGGGGTAGTTAATTCTCCTCTATCCTCCAGGGTGGCTGGGAGTTGGAAGTAACTCAGGGCAGCTGGTAACCTTTGTAGAGAGAAAGGAGAAAGGATACAACCCTGACACATACCTTATCTGATTCTAAACCGAGCAGTGTTCCCTTGCTCTGTCTGGACACCAGCTTCCTACTCTAAGTATAGGTCCCGCATGAGCACAATGAAATGTTCTGTAATTCTGGTTCTTCCTAATATTAGCCACAGTGTGTCATGATCCACACAGCTAAACACCTTTGCATAATCAATAAACCACAAGTGAAGAGATTTCTTGTATTCTGGCATCAGGATTGGAGGGAGACTCATCAATAACCTGTGTTATGCAGATGACACATCCTTGCGTGCTGAAAGAGAGGAGGACTTGTTGCAGAAGATCAAGGAATGCAGCCTCCAGTATGGACTGCACCTCATCCTCAAGGAAACAGGACTCCTCCCCAGTGGGCCGGTAGGCAAAATCATGATAGATGGAGAAAAGACTGACGATGTCAAAGATTTCCTCTGACTTGGAACTACACTCAATACCCATGACCACAGCAATCAAGAATCAAAAGACTTGTGTTGCATTGGGGGAAATCCCCCGGCAAGGGCTCCTTCAAAGTGCGAAGGGACAAGGGTATCCGTTTAAAGACTAAAGGGCTCCTGATTTAAGCAGTGGTTTTGAATGACTTCCTGAGCATCTGAGAGTTGGGCAATGAGTAAGGAAGCCTGCAGAAGAATCAATACCACTGAACTATGGTGTTGGAGCAGAGCACTGATGTCCCACACCCTGCAGAGAGAACAGGCAGGTCTGTGTCGGAGAAAGTCCAACCGGGGTGCTCCGCGGAGGCCTGCATGTGGGAACCTTGTCTCACGTGCTTCCGGCATGTTGCCAGTGGGGCTGGTCCTTGGGGACAGACATCATGCTAGGAAAGGTCAGGGAAAGAGAAGACCCGCAATGAGACTGTGACAATGGACTTGAGCATGCCAGGGAGGAGGAAGACGCAGGAGGGGGCAAGGTTTCGCTCTGATGTCTGTAGGGTGGTTTGAATCACATTTGGACAACACCTAACAACACGGTTACAGGATTACATCGCCTGATCTGTCCCTCTTCCAGGTGCTTGATAGGTCACACCAGGGACCTTCCAATTAGCCTAGGGCTTAGCTGTTGTGCCACTTATATCTTCCCTTTTATTTCCACGTCCGGTCACCTCCTGGCCATCTGTGCTATTTCTTCATCTATTTCGCTTATTGCTGATGGTACAGTGTCTAAGCTCTGACCACACTCGCCAGGTGCTCTACACCAGGAAAGACCTGGCGCTCTGTGACCATGAAGAGAACAGCCGGAGAGACCCCAGCGGGCAGGTCTGCTGTGTCACATGGGGTCGTCGTGAATCGAGATTGACACCTAACACCAGTTAATGCTGATATTCGAGTGACAGTGGGGCTGAGGTCTGAGTCCGCTGTGTCCCCGGTGCCGGGTACACAGTGTCAATCAGCTCCCATCAAGTGGACCCGGCTCATGGTGACCTTAGACACATCATCATGATTGGCTAATTTCTAAAACTAGGTCGCCAGGCCCTTCTTCCTGTTCTCTATTAGTTTGCAAAAACTAGATTGCCAGGCCTTTCTTAATCTTAGTTTGCAGGCAACAAATAGCCAGGTCTTTCTTCCTACTCTTAACTTGCAGTCTGGAAACTCCACTGAAATCTATTCAGCATCAGAGCAACCAACACTCAAGCCTCCCTGACAGACAGGTCGCAGGTGGTGGCCGAGCACGAATCCATTCCGGGTCTCCTGTGTGGACGGTGAAGACGCTACCACCCGCTGCCACGTCTTGGCGCACTGCCTCCAGGAGCAGCAATTGTCCAGGAGTTCTGCAGAAACATCCAGAAACAGGCAGGGAGCCGGCCCGCTGCATCCGTGCGGACAGGGTTTTTATTATTTCTGTTCTGTTGATCAGAAATTGAGCTGGTGTCAAGCGTTGTGATAAATCTAAATTGGCTGATGAACGCATGAGGAAGAAAGTGGAGCTTTGTGGCAATTAGACAGACGCCATGGGAAGGTCTGGACGGACCCCGAGCCTGTCCGTGGCTTTTGCAAATGGGGTTTCTATCCATAGCAAGCTGGGAGTGAGTGTTTATTTCATTATTTCAGGCGTTTTCTTCCCTGGCTGTCCCCGTTGGCCTCCCAGTGCTGTTATATAAAACTACTTCAATCATGAAATCACGAGGCCGTTTGCTCTTGTCTGCTTGGGAGATTGGAGGCCTGAGGGGGCCGTTGCAGATGTGGGGGTCAAGGGGGACAAGTCTGAGCTGGAGACTGGGGTGCCTGGGGTCACCCTCTCACCTCTGGGGCCTTGTCTCTCTGAGTTCCCTCTTTCTCCACTTCGGTCATGCTCTCTGTGGGGCTCTGTGTCCCTGCCTCACGGCCTTTGCACGGCTCTTCTGGTTCCTAGTGCACTGCTGTTCCCACACTCCTTCATCGTGTCCCTAGAGGGCTGTGATTTCCCAGAGACCCCCCTCAGCTCCAGGCTCCTGCTCCCCCCCTTGAGGCACTCATTGCCAGTTTGTACACAGGGAGGTCTGTCAGCCTAGAGCATAAGGAGTTGATGTGTCAACACAAAGGCAGGGAGTTCAAATCCTCTTCTCCCACAGGGCAGCTGGTGGACTCAGACCTCCTCTTGGTTGACAGTCCCCTCTCCTTCCTCACCAGCTTCTGGTGAGACGAGGAATGCTGGCTTGTCTGGGAGAGTGAGCACGCTGACAATTCCTTAGGAGATGGGAGCTGGCTCTGGGGTTGAGCGTGGCCCCAAGTTTCTGGTTGGAGGGTTGAGGGATGGTGGGGTTGTTGCCCTGATGGACAATGGGGGTTGGTGCACACATTTGCTTCCCTGGCTAATTTCCCTCAGATAATGTGACCCCTTTACTCACTACCAGTCCCCAGCCTCCTGGGGGGTCCCCCCCCCCCCCCCGTCAGCCTCAGCATCACCTCAAACTGTTGTATTCAAAGGAGACCACGGGGGAGCCCAGGGACTTGATCTGAAACTCTCACCATGATTTGGGGGTGCCTTGATCACTCAGCAGATGAGCCAAGTGGGCAGCTGGAGTAGGGGAAGTGTGGGGGGGCCCTGGGAGCTGGGGTGACCCCCCACCAGGTGTGAACTCCTTCTTGCATGCGTGCTACTGCTCTGTGCTTGGTCCCTGCCTGGGTGGGTAAGCTCCTACCGGCCACCTATCCTGTCTCTTCCTGAGGCCCGCAGTCAGGACGAGGCCCTTGTGGCCAATCCCAGCGTCCAGCCCCAACTCGTCCAGAAGCACAGCCCTCACTCTCTCCTCCTCCTCCTCTCTGGTTCCTCGTTTGACAAATTGGGATAATACCCACCTCCCACGGCTGTCATGTACACACGGTAAAATACTACGGGCGCGCACCTGGCCCTCGGCGGGGCTCCGTAACAGGCGGAGGAGTAATGCTGTGGTCACTGCTCTGTTGTGATTATTAAGAGAATGATGGGGAGTGGCTGTCACAGTCAGGTCTGAGCTGTCCCCGGGAAGGTGAGAGAGCGCAGACTCTGGTCCCTGCCCCACAGCAGAAGAGGAGTGTGTGCATTCATTCCTATCATTCATTCATTCAACCATCCCGTCAATCATGCATTCATTCAACGAAGCTTGCTCTGTGCCAAGTTCAGGCACATGGCCTGGGGGTGGAGCTGAGACCCCAGGACATTGCAATGCTGTTTGGCCTGACCTGAAACATGGGGGTCTGAGGGAGCCCCAGAGACCCCAGCTAGCCTGCATCAGAGCAGGGTGTGCAGGCAGGCTTCCAGGAGGAGACAGCGTTTGAAACAAGCATCAAGTGAGGAGTATGCATGCCCCTGGGTGCTCAACTCCTGCACGCTGCCACCCTGCACGTGCTGGGCCAGCCACTTCCCCCCACCCCCAGATGCACAAAGTGTCTAACACGCACAAGCCACTGGAAGAACTCAGAATTGTCTGTGTTCCCAAACTCAGTCCCCAGAGCTCCCAAAGTAAGGACGCAGGCACTTGAGTGGCTCACCAAGACGATGTTCCCCACCAGCTCTGAGCGGCCGCTCTCTAGAAGGAAAACAGACCCTCCCAGCACACGCAGGAGGCAGCCAGACTCCTGGCTGATTCCTGGGAGGTGAGAACAAAGCCCCTGGCACCCCGATGGAAGCCCACCCCCTCCACAGCCCTGCTTGCCCCCACGCCCACCCCGGCTTGCTCCCCACTCCTCCTGTTCTTTGGCTCCCAGGCCACCTGTCTGTCCTGAAGCACACAGCAGTGGTGGTGTAAGCGGAGAGGCCTTTGCTGGCTCACCACCTGGTATTTGTTTCCCCTGTTGGAAGGCAGACTCTCTGGCAGCGTGAGTCCCCCTCGGCTGGGAGATTTAAAGGCCATTGTGCACAGGAGCCAGAGCCGGGGAGGGACGTGCATGTCTGCTGAGCGCCTGCTGTGTGCTGGTCGGAGCTCCGTGGAAGTGTCTCCGCTCCCCTGTACCCATAGTACAGATAAGGAACTGAGGTAAACAGCCTGGTGGGGAGAGCGAGCCAGGAGGTGATGTCCGGCTCTGAGTGTTCCGCTGGCTCTGTATGGAGGAGTTTAGAGAGCTGTTGGGCAGAGCAGATTTGGGGTGCACAGGCCAGAGGGAGCCCCGTGGCCTGCCGGTAAGGGGCTTGCAGGAGAAGGAGCTCCAGGGTCATCCAGGTGCATGTTCAAGTCTCTCCAGACGACAGCAAGGGCCCAGGATGAGGTAGAGGAGGTGGATGTCCAGGGCCAGGAGGAGGACAGCTCGGACCAGGCTGAGGACAGAAGCCTGGCCACCTGCATCTATTGACACGGCTGTGGGCAGGTGGGGAGGGAAGAGGTGCTTGGAATGACCCTTGGTGGGCGGATTCCCCCAGTGGTGGCAATGGCTAACTGGTTCAGCTGGTGCTGCTTCAACTTCATTCAGAAGTCCCTCGCAAGAAAGGTCTGGTGATCTGCTTCTGAAAACCTGACGGAGCACAGCTGGACTCCAACACACAGGGGTCCCCAAGAGTTAGCTGTGAGGGCAGCAGGTTCTGGGGCCTGGCAGAACTGGGCATCCAGAGGGAAGGTGGCATCTGGGTTATCACCAGAGCAGGGCCGATGGGAGGGGTTGTCACCAGGTTAAGGGGGACTGGGGGTATGGGAGGTGTTATCACCAGGGCAGATGGAAGAGTTTATCACCAGGGTAAGGGGGGGCTGGGGGTATGGGGGTATGGGAGGTGTTATCACCAGGGCAAGGGGATGGGTGTGTTATCACCAGGGCAGGTGGGAGTGGGGGGAGTAGGCGGGTAGAGTGGGGGGATTATCAACAGGGCAAATGGGGGTGGGGTGGGTTATGACCAGGGCAGATGGAAGAGGTTATCACCAGGATAAGGGGGGACTGGGGGTATGGGGGTATGGGAGGTGTTATCACCAGGGCAAGGGGATGGGTGTGTTATCACCAGGGCAGGTGGGAGTTGGGGGGAGTAGGCGGGTAGAGTGGGGGGATTATCAACAGGGCAAATGGGGGTGGGTGGGTTATCACCAGGGCAGAGAGGAGGTGAGTTTTCATCAGGGCAGATGGAAGGGGTATCACCAAGGTAAGAGGTGGGGGTGGGGGTGTTATCACCAAGGTAAGAGGCGGGGGTGGGAGTGTTATCACCAGGGCAGGTGGGGAGTGGCTTCGAAGGACTCTGGTTCCATCATAGTGGCCGTGGTCTGCTCTTGCTCTGAGTGGGCTTGGGGTGGACTGGGCCCAACGGGTCACTTGGGACGTCCAGTGAACTCCAGGGTTTCTGGGATGCTGGGGGGAGGTGTCTTTTTATGGTGCTGGGGTACAGAGAAGGGCCTAGCCAAGCCTCTCCACATGTGGAAAACTGGCCTTCTCAGGGGACAGCAGGGCCGTGCTGAGCTGGCTGGACTCAGGGTGTAGGGGACAAAGCATGAGCCCCTGACTCGGTTTCTCCATCTGTTAAGTGGAGCAATGCTGATTGGCCCTCCCTGCCCACCTGGTGCTGCTGGTGTGGGTCTGGCTCAGCGACCAGGGCACAACTGGACACAGCACCGCCCAGGCCCCACCAGCCCACAGTGGCTGCTACCTCGGCGTCTCCTGCTGCAGGTCCCGTGTCGGTCCACCTCACTGAGGTCTTCCTCTCTCTCTTTGTTCCCCTCCTTTACCAAGCCCAGCGTCCCATCCTGGCCTGACCGCTCCTGATAACATGCAGGGTCGGAGACACTGACCACCACCCTCCAACCAAGGAACTCTCCGTCTGGACTTGTAGATGGAGTTTTCCATCTTCCAGCAGTCCATGGCCTAGGGCCATCACGAATCGCCTCTCACCCAGTGGGCCCCCATATCAAAGGGAATGTGAGGAGAGAATTCCAAGCAGGACGAAGACAGATGTGCTTTGCCACTGCAGCTCCTCCCCACGGTGCTGTCTCGTTATGTGTTTGAGAGCTGGCAGTAGATGGGGATCCGCAAAGGCCAGGGATAGAGTGGGGACAGAGCAGGCCCATCCAGTGAGGGCAGGTCCCCCTTGGGTGTTGCCGGGTAGCTAGAGAGGTTGGAGTGTACCTGGCTGTGCCCTCCGAGAAAGTCCACCAGCCTCCTTGGTGACTCAACTCTGGGACAGCCCTGGGCTTGAAATGAGTGCTGGCCGCAGAGCTGACCTGGGAAGGAAGGTTAGGCCTCACCGGGCGGGCTGTGGCTCTCGCTGTGCAACCAGGGAGAGGACGGGAGCTGTGGGCCCAGCCTGCCAGGGTCTGAACGTGTGGCTGGTGGACAGCCTTCTGGAGGGGTGTGCCTGGTGTCCCCTGAAAGTCCTTCAGTGATTCCCATCAGCTGCTGGGCTCTGGGCACCGGGCCCTGCTTGTGCCAGATGAACAAATCTGGCATTTGCATCCTCAGAGCCCAGTCCAGGACCGAGTGCTGGCGGGAAGCTACCGGCACATGGAAGCAATTGACCCAGTCACAGCCACAGGAAGTGGCTCGTGCGGAGCTGAGAACACTCGCTGACTATTCTAGACGGCTGTGTAACGTGGGGAGAACTGGGGTCTTTGGGAAGAGGCAGGCCTGGGTCTGAGTTCTGGCCCTGCCCTTCTGACCGTGAAGCTGTCTCTGCCCCTCCCAGGCTTGGTTTCTGGGTAGAGTTCATGGAGATGCTATGGAGTCACTGGAGCCATTGATGACCCCGGTTCCGGTAAAATCTGCTGTTGTCAGGTCAGCGCTGACTCGTGGGCATCTCTGTGCAACTGGACGAAACCCTGCCCAGACCTGCGCCGTCGTCACAGCTGCTGGCCTGCTTGTGTCCACTGGTGTGGTCACTATGCTGCTGCCTGCTCGTGTCCACTGATGGCCACTATGCTGCTGGCCTGGTCGTGTCCACTGGTGTGGTCACTATGCTGCTGGCCTGGTCATGTCCACTGGTGTGGTCACTATGCTTCTGGCCTGGTCATGTCCACTGGTGTGGTCACTATGCTGCTGGCCTGGTCATGTCCACTGGTGTGGTCACTATGCTTCTGGCCTGCTCATGTCCACTGGTGTGGTCACTATGATGCTGGCCTGCTCGCATCCACTGGCGGCCACTATGCATTTCAAGTGCCTCCCAAACTAAGGACTCATCGGACAGTATTGCATTGTGATTTGTAGGATTTTCATTAGTTTATTTTCAGAGATTAGGTCACCAGGCCTTTTCTGTTAGTCTTCCTGCTCTAGAAACTCCTCTGAAGGCTGTCCACTGTGGGTGACCCTGCCCTGTCCTGAGCCAGTCTAATAGTCTCAGATACACCTACTTGCCATTGTCCCAGTTACTGTATCAATCCATCTCACCTGGGGTCCCATTCTCCTGTACTGTCCCCTCTACCCTTCTAAGCATGATGTTCTTTTCCAAGGATCAGTCCCTCCTGGCCACGTGCCCAGAGTATGTGAGATGGAGCTACAGAATCCTAGGTTCCAAGGAGAAACTTAGTTTCACCCTCTCCAAGACAGACCTGTCTGTTTTCTCGGCGGTTCATGGTATGTCCAAGACTCTTCTCCAGCATCACAACTCAAAGACATCGATTCTTCTTCTATCATCCTTAGTCATTATCTGGCTCTCTCATGCAGAGCACGTAATTGCTAAGACCATGGTCTGCATCAGGTGCTTCTTAGTCTCTAAACTGACATCAGGCTTCTCAGCACCCTGGAGAGGTCCCTGATGACAGCAGATTTTCCCAGTGCAATTTGTCTTTTGATTTCTTGACTGTGGAGCTGAGCAAGCTGTAACTGTTAACAACCTCAGTCTCTTCTCCATGCATCATGGTGCTGCCAATTTGCCCAGTGGTGAGAGTCTTTGTCTTCTTGAGGTTGAGCTTCAATCCATGTTGAAGACTGCAGTCCTTGACCTTGACCAGAGTTCATGTTGTTGTTGTTATGTGCCGTTGAGTTCCTGCAACTTATAGTGACAACTTATAGTACAACAGCTCTAAACTCTGCCCTTTTCTGTGCCAATCACCATCTCCAACACACCTGCCCCCATTATAACCCCAGTCACTGAATCAATCCATCTCATTGAGGGTCTTCCTCTCCAGCGTTGTCCTTCCACCCTCCCAAGCATGACATCCCTCTCCAAAGACTGGTCCCTCTTTGCACATGTCCAAAGTGTGTCAGATGAAGCTTAAGAGTCCTTGCCTCCAAGGAGCAGCTGGCTTTACCCTCTCCAGGACAAACCTGTTTGTTCTCCTAGCAGTCCATGGCATATTCAACACTCTTCTCCAGCACCACAGCTCAAAGGCATCAATTCTTCTTCTATCATCCCTAGTCATCATTCAGCTCTCTGATGCATAGCAAGTGATTGCAAAGACCATGGCCTGTATCAGGCGCACCTTAGTCTCCAAACTGACATCCATGCACTTCAGCACTTTAGAGAGGTCTCTAACTGCACTTTCCCATTACAATAGGTCTTTTCATTTCCAGGCTGCTGGTGCCAAGAGCATAAATTCAAGCTAAACATACTACCATGAACTCCAGTCTTACTGATTGTGATTATTCTCCATCACGTTTCCAAGGCTGTAAACATTTATGGAGTGGCATCACTTCCTAAACACTGTGCCTCTGGAAACTCTATGAACTTTAAAAAGCGATAGTTCTAGAAAGGTTTCAGGCCTTTTGTTCATAGGGTTGCTATGAGCCATGCTCCATTTGACGGCAATGAACAACAACACAACAAATATTTATGGAAGGAGGGACTACTCTTTTTTTTTCTCCAAAGAGAGATTGGTGAGTTTGAACTGCTGACCTCTTGGTTAACATCCAAACATGTAATACACTAAGCCACCAATGTGTAAAAGAAACTCAAAAGGGGTTTATAGCGGTTTTTCAAGAAGCAATTTGTGTGCATGTTATTTGCATGAAGATTCAGTAGTCTGGTGAACTATGGCAACTCTCTTCAACAGGGTTTTGTTGGTGTTTCTTTTTTTTAACATTTTTTTTAATTAATTTTAATGAAAGTTTACAGAAACCTAGGGTTTCCATTCATTCACCGTTGCACTTTTCTCCCTGTCCAACCCCTCTCCCCAATTCATTCTTCTCCTTGAAAAGAAAAAGAAAAACTCTTTCATTGTTATACAATTCCTCCCCCCAAGTCCACTCCACTATGCAGCCTTCACTCTGTACTTCTGTAATACCCATTCATATGTCCCTTTTAAAGAGTTCTCTCCCTCATCAGTTTCAATGAAATATACATCATTCCTTCCCTCTTCTTCTGTCTTCCCTCAACCCTGATGTCAGTCCCATTTTACAACAGTGGCCCTATGCAATATTTGTCCTTTTGTGACTGAGATATTTCACTCAGTGTAATGTCCTCCAGGGTCATTTGTTTTGCATTTGTTGGTGTTTCTTAAACACCTACGGCTCTTGAAAGGATTCTGACTCAGGTGACCTTGTGATAGAGAAGAGCTGTGCTCCCTCCAGCTTCCTTGACCATGGGAGCAGAGCACAGGCCTTCTCCCAAGTGTGTCCACCAGTCTTTGGCTTAGCTGTGAGTCACCGAGGTCAGGACCACCCAAGGGAGAAAGCAGTTTCCCACATCACAGAGCCACACTGTCAGGGTATGAGGAAGAGCTGACACAAAGTGGCGTCCACCAGTAACTGCCCACCCAGTCTGCTGTGTAGGCAGAGGGCACAGGCAGCCCTGGGCAAGGCTCTCAGTCTTAGATTTGGGGACAGGCGATGGGTGATGGAGCCTATTGCAACAGGAGGAAGAGATAGGGGTCTCCAAGGGAAATTTGTCCCCCTCAAGTCCAGGGAGCCCCTCTTGCTCCCACTTCCCAGCTCCATGCTGGCCTTCAAAGGGGCACAAACAGCAGGGGGACTGCAATGACCTGGGAGCCTGACCTCACCTCTGACCTTCAGCCACAGGGTTGCCCAAGAGAAAGGAGGCGCCCCTCTCACATACTGACTCATCCAGATGCTTTATTATCCAATCAGAGACCAAGGTCTGGTCACTTTGTGGTCAGAGGGCATTGTCAGACCCCGTTACCCTGTGGTTAAAGGGCACTGCCAGATGTCATCACCCTGTGGTCAGAGGGCACTGCCAGACCCCGTCACCCTGTTGTCAGAGGGCACTGCCGGAGGGCCTCCTAGTTACAGGACGGCATTTAACAATAATAACTGGGAGGGGCAGGAAAGGAAGTCTTCCCCGAGGAGGCAGCTTTTTGTTTTGAGGGGTATCTAGGAGTCCATGGGATGGCCAATGTCTGGGGAGACATTAGGAAATGGTAACAAACTTGGCTCTGGCGCTGCAAGAGAGAACCAGCTATGTCCAGTGCCCACAGGACTCTATCCATTTTTCCTTGATGACCTTCCCCAGCCCGCCTGCCTGCCCACCCCGTTCAGGGTGCCTGTGGGCCATCTCCACCTCATACCCACTCACAGGGACTGAGAAGGAACTTCCTCCCCACATGCCACGCCCAGTGCCAGCATCTCTCCCGTGTCCCTCTCGTGCCCTCTCAGTCCACCGCCAGAGGCCAATGGGGAGGCAGTGGATGAATTTTCTCTCTCTCCAAGGCCACGGCGTAGCTTCATCTCACATACTTTGGGGCATATGGTTAAGAAAGGCTGTTCCCAATCTCCATAATAGTCTATGTG